TTTGCAATATAAGGAACTACTTCTTTTCTATGTAGTTTTTTTGCTAGCTTGCCTCATAAAATCATGTGCATGCACGTGGATAAGTAATAATACCCAGGTGCACACCCTCAGGGTCCACTTACTATGGGTGCAAAATTTTAGGTTTCTAGGTTCTTTCCTCTTGGAGCTATGTTTGTCACACACACACACACAGACATGCAATTGTGCATGTCTGTATGTGATTTCTATTTGTAAAAAAAGGAACCACTTCTTTTCTATATGGTTTATTGTTAGCTTGCTTTATTAAAAAGATGTGCATGCACGTGGATAAGTAATAATACCCAGGTGCACATCCTCAGAGCCCACTTATATTTCAGATTTCTAGGTTCTTTCCTCTTGGAACTATGGGAGTCAAGTACTTTTACTATTATAGGTTATTAGGTTGATATATGTCAGTGTACGTATTCTGAACCTATTTCAACATAAAAGTATGACTATATACTTTTCCTGCTGAGCAACACGACATAAAAGCCGTTGTTGGAATGCATTGTTATCCAGGTGCACACCCTCAGGGTCTACTTTTTATGGGTGCAAAATTTAAGGTTTCTTGGTTCTTTCCTCTTGTAGCTACGGCAGTCACACTTCTTTTCCATGTGGTTTTTTTGTTAACTTACCTCATAAAAAAGATGTACATGTGCACACACATGTGGATAAGTAGTAATATCCAGGTGCACAACTTCAGGGTCCACTTAGTATGGGTGCAAAATGTCAGGTTTCTAGGTTCTTTCCTCTTGGAGCTATGGCGGTCACATGCACAGACCCACCCTTTTATTATTTTACAATACTGACAGTCTTTTATCTTATAACACCATAATTGACCTCTTTAAATATAGTAATGTTATCCTTTCTTTACAATGCTTACAAGACTAAACATTCCAAAATGTTAAAGGAAAAGAATACTATTCAATTGAGAATGTCTGATTTTGAAACTTAACTGTCATACAAGTCTTGACATTGATGAGTGAACTGAGGTAAGCAGGATAAGAAAGTTTAATCTTGAAAATATAATTTTCACTAAAACACAAATTTATTTCAAGTATAAGAATTGACCACAGTTGGGGGGGGGGGATTTGTTTGAATATTTCTACAGAAAATGATCAGTGTTCAGAGGATATATTGGTGAACAGAAAGCAGTGTCTTTCAGTAGAATGTACAAATAACTATGTAATACACAAATAAATTAGGTTCAGAAAAATACACAATACCAACAATATGCCAAAAAACAATAAACTTACTTCGGAAATTTCCAGTTTATTGAAATGCTAAAGTACCAGATGTTATATCTTTCTTGTACTTTTAAAAAGGGCAAGTTTCTTGTCAAGAAGAATGACAAATAACACATTTAAAACCAAGATGTGTTACTTTGCAAATCATGAAGGTTTATTCTAAAATAGAAAAATAGTTTGCTGTTTCATCTGCCTTCTCGTTCCTGTTGCCTGTGTCGACGTTCAAGTAATCTTTTAATTTCACTGTTTTCCACTAGGTGATCTCGCTTCAAAACCTGTGCATTAGAACATCCTATATAAGGGCACCTGGGGGAGGAAATCAAACAATTCTAATTACAGCAAATAGTACCTGTGTTACAAAATTTTATGTTACCCTTACTTTGAAATTAATATTGAACTTGTTTAACTCTCTCCACATGGGCTTGGTCAATTTGATTGACCACATGACCTTTTTTGTACTCGTATAAAGTTTTTATAGATCTTATACTAATAACTTTTGATATAGTGTGTATATCTTCAAGAAATTTGGCATTCTTTTAGTAAACATTATAAGTCTTTCACATAAAACAAATAATATTTTTAGTGAAATATGTTTGATAAACTAAAAATAAGGTTTTGTCCTTTAATATATCGAGTATTTATTTTGAATAGTCCGTGTGCAAAGAGATTTTCACGTTAAGATTAAAAATATTTTTCTTCAACTTAAAAATCTAAATTTCATTGGTGTAATCTCTAAAACCTAAATATATTTCAAATGTTTGTTTATATTTTATCTGTTATTTTCTCTATCCTAAATCTATATAAAGTTGGTCAGTTTAGCTGACCTTATAACAACCAAATAAATCTAAATTACCCTTCTTTTCTTTCTAGAACGACTTCAAATGTAGCATGAAACTACCTAAGTTTATCCTAAGTAGCTTTAAACTAGTAACAGTATACATCTATTTATAATTAAATTGTATTGTTTTATTGCCCACTTGATTGCCCTTTGAACCATGTCTAACTACCATTCGTACCATTATAAGTTGTAAATCATTTAGGGAACATGCAGTTCATGTTATGCTATCCAATTACATTACCCATGAGCAAATCTGGACTGTGGGCGTGTGTGCCTCATGGAATACTTTTTATATTATTATTGTTTATTTACCTAATCTAACCTAAAGAGATCTCTATTTTTACATTTTAGTTACTTTTATAATAAATAAAGAATAAACATTAAAAAACAAAAAATAAATACTTACCCAAGTATTCTCTTTTTTCTGTTGACTATCAATGACACTTAACCCTACTTTTTATATATAAATGGTAGTAGTGCATTAAATAATGCACCAAAGAACATAGACTAATGACATGTAAAAAGTAGACAATTTCCCATAACTCAAAATTTTTCTGGCTTTCTAACTATGAGACAAATTCATCCAAGCTAGTAGTTAGTTTCCCCATGGGAATGGATCTTGTACTCTGAGTGAAATTGACATTATCTGTTCAGAACACAATGTTATACAATATGTCATTTGATAGATGAAAACCTGGACTTTCTATTGGTTATAGGTAATATATAATTACTTATGTAACTGAACACAATTGTGTGATAACATAATAAATACTGATTACTTCCAGGAACAAAAACAGTTCCCAAGTGTGACAAAGAAACATCCTTTATAATCACAGACAATACAGTAATGATATGTAACTTACCTGACATGCTTATTTTTACCAATATACTGTAGGATAGTAGTCTTCTCATAGGTATGTCCACAAAACTTGTTCTTGACTGGTTCACTCACTTCCTTCTGAGATATTGGATCTTTGGGAATGACAACTGTCTGAGTCAGTATCATATCATCATCTAACTCAGTCTCTTTGACCAAAGCCTCTTCTACAAAGCAGTTAAATAACTTAGATTACATGACCTTAATAATTTTACAATCTTAAGACATATTGCAATATAAAAATAAGAACTTTTGTAAATAAAAGACAGCAGGGATACATAAATTCTCACAAGTTCATGCCTGAAAATATACAAATGCATGTTAAAAAGCACACTTAAATTGCAGTAAATTAAGGGTATCAAAAACAATATATTTCAATTATAACACGTAGCAAACTATTAGATAATGATAATCAGAGTGCAACAGTTTCTGGTATTTGTTAAACGATTAGTACAACATTCCACTAGCTTCATAAGATTCTGAACTGCTGGATTTTTCTAACATGGTACTAATTTTTCTATTTTCACCTAGCATTGTTTGATTGTTTAATTGTAATTAAGCACAAAGCTACACAATGGGCTATCTGTGCTCTGCCCACCACGGGTATCTAGAGTTGTAAGTCCGTAGACATACCGCTGTGCCACTGGGGGGCAGTCTTTTTTTTTTAACTTATTTTTGAGGAACCCTTCATTTCATACAACAGATATCTTCTGGAGGTTGTCATTATGCATTTTGTAAAAAACTTATTTTTGGGTTAAGAATACTTTGACACAAATTATTTGTAAATATAATCGGGAAATTGGTGAATATATCAGTAATGTCAACTAGAGATGAAACTGCAGTTACCATTTTGTTTGGCTGTAAAATGCGCACTGATTTTGTGTAAGTCAAATAAAATAATAATTCAATAATGTACTATCACCAATAAGACTAAGAATGTTTTTATTTGAAAGATATGAAGATGACAGTTAGAAATTACTAAACAGCCATTTAGCCAATTTATTTATGTACATTGTTTAAATAAGATAAACAACAAAATAATAATCAATAAAGATTTGAGTCATTAGAACATTTTGCAGTCACTAACCATACTCATGAACAGTAAACTTAACTCATCTGATTTGTTTAAGATTTTAATTTGTTTGATGAACAAAATAAAAATTTGTCATTGTTACATACATTGAAACTCAAGAAAACCACAGTATGTCAATTAAAAAGTAAAAGCAATGTAATTTTAAACACAAAACCAAACATCAACATAATATTTTCACTAAGCCTTAAGCAATCTCTATTCTTGTAACTTCTTTGTTTTGCTCTGTATATGGATTACAGTATCTATTTGTACCTGATGATGACAAAACCTTTTTCAAATGTACAGTTGTTACTGTGTTAAACTTGTTAATAAAGTTTTCTTTGTTACCCATTCAACCTGTCTCTAAACTGTATAAGCTTACTTCTCAAATTATCCAATATGTTCTCATTAAACATTTCTTTAGCTTTCAAATAAATATAATTTAACAAAGAAATACTTTTACAATTCACAAACAAAATGAATATTTACAGAAACAATAAATAGTTTTTATACTTATATATTTACTATAACATGATACTCTAATTCTCTATCCAATCATGTTTGAACTTTCTTTTAGCTGTTTTCAAAACTGTATTTCATTAGTAAATGATCCAACCACTTGATATGACATCATAACAAGGTAGCAACCAAGGCCTGCATGAAAATTAAGGGCAATCTTTGAAAATCAATAAATGGAAGATAATGTATTCTCACAGAGTTATAAATTCTTAGTAAAAACAAATTATTCTTTGGGATTGGCAGAAAAAATCCTGAATAAAAAAAAGTCAATAAGTGCATTGTTTACAAGCAAAACTCTTTACAGCTGTGCAGGTGTGAAAATATGTAATTTTTCGTTTTTCTTCATGAATTACACTAAGCAAATATTAGGAAATGACAAAAATGTTTATTCTAAAATATTTCTGATTTGAAACTTTTGAAATAAAGTGAAAATTAACATATAACATTGACTTTAATTTTGTGGTAAAAAAATATTTTTCAAGTAGTCAAAAATAAAAAAAGGCAGAACTGTGCATAGTGCCACTATAAATTGTGTGCACTACATAATTCCTCTATTAACTTGTGGCTAATGTTTTGGGCAGAAAAGACTGATCTGAAAAGAGGATGACATATGATAGAATGTGCCAGAGACATTGAGAGCAAACAAATCTGAACCTTGATGCCTACATGCCAATAGGAGGAGGAAAAAGGTCTTTAAGGAGAGATGTTATAAGGAACAGGATGACATGGGCTTGTAGAGATGAAATGTGAAGGCATGGAGGATAACATTTAGGCTCCAATCAGGGAGGGAAGTATACACAAAACAATAGGGTGAGAATCAGAGGAGTGAAGACATGGTGAAATCTCGTGAAATAGAAAGTGACTGATAACCAGCTATGGTGGATATCAAAAGTCCCTTGTCGAAAAGCCAGGTGAGAAAGGATTTCAGGTGCAGGAGAGTAGGATGGAATGGAGGAAAACCATGATAAAAAGACCAACAATGTTAGATATACCACTTATGTTGGTAAAATGAAACTGAGGAAGGGTGAATGGAATGGGAACTCAGGAAAATAACCTGTGAGGAATGTCTGGCCTATCTGGCAATGGACTAGACAAAAGCCATGCATGAGGATGTAGCACACCCAATTGAGGAGGAAGTGTCAATAGGAGTAGGCACAGAAAAGGAAACCATGGCTGTGAGAGCCAAAGTGGTACTACTAAGAGGACATGATGCAGAGTGACTTATATGCCTAAGAGAACACAAGGAAGAAGACAGATGGGTGGATAGGCATAGAGGTAATGCCCCCCCCCTCCAAATCCTAACTGAGGACATCTACAACTACAGCCAAAGGATGTGAAATTGGGGTCCAAAACCTGGGAAGCTTGGAATTCAGGTGGGTGGCAAATATGTCCAGGTCTGGAGTACCCCAATGGAAACACAGCCAGCCAAACACCTGTGGTTCAATGGACCACTTTGTAGGGAGAATCTTGTTGGGGCATTGATAATGATCTTGATAATTAGAAGTTTAGTTTACAAACCTTGAAAAAACAAGTGAACAAGTGGAGTGAATAAGAATAAATCCAGAAAGTATATTCAGATAATATAGTATTAGTGGGTTAATAAGTAACAACACTGTTTAACTTCACCACACTAGTTGCAGTAATATTTCATTTTTACAATGATAGTACGATATCAGTTAACTTTTTGAAAAGTTAAGTATGTAACATTGTAACCAAATTTTTAATATTCTGTATATGAAAGAGAATTCCACTATAGTAATTCAGTAGTTTGAATTAGTCAATGTTGACCACTCAGTTCTAAAGTAACCTATATATTTTAAGCAAAATTAAAATGACAATAATATATTCTGCAAATGATTAGCTCAGTTGATCTAATCTTCTTTCTTTATTTCTAATAATTTGATTAAAATGAAAATAAAAACAATTACAAACAAACATTTCAAATTTTAAACTAAAATTAAATAGTTATAAATATTTATCATATTCAGAAGAAAAATTAAAGCATTTGTAAACAGGATGTCTTGTTTTCAAAAGTTGTTACTTATAGTCATACCTATTGCATCTTCACATATTAAGGACATCAACAAAGTAGAAACTTCTTTGTCATGAGAATTCTATCTTCTAAATAATTAAAAATCAATTCTGTAACAATTTTATAAGAGGTCCAGGTGTTCTAAGAAATAATGACTCAGATGGAAACAATTCTTTTAGGTCTAAGCACACATATAAAGTGTCTGGACCATAGCATTGACTAACTGATGTTCATACTGTTGAAATACATTAAAATACTCAAACAATCAATGTTGCATAATACACAATGAAAATTTTACTTAAAACTGATCAACAGTCTTAAAAGGTACTCTACATGTTTCAAAATCATTAGTGTCATCCTCTAGAGTGTGAAAAACAAAGGCTGTGCAACATATAAATACAAAAAAAGACATGATCAAGTGACTACTAGTTTACATATTTAAAAAAGATCACACCATCTATTTACTTTCTATTTTCTAACCCTTCATCCTTATTTTAGATGATATTATCATTTTTCTAATATTTCTAGCCATCATATTAATGGGTTGAGCTAAAATAACAGTTCTTCCCACTGTTATTTTGGCTCAACTGAACAATATGACAGTTAGAAATATTAGAGAAATCACAAAAATAATAAAACACAGTAAAAATAATAATGGCTGGAGACGGCTTGAATGGGTAATGAAGAAAAACTTTAATATAACAGCAAATGTACAACGTTTCGACAAGGTTTTGTCATCATCAGGTACAAAATAAGATGCATGGACTTATACAAGGCTAAGATACAGAAATCATGCCTGCTTGAATGTTTAAAAGAAACTTTTGGAAATAACACTGAAATTATCTAATGTGTAATATCTTGTTTCATAAAGTGAGGAAAATTTAGAAAGAAAAAAATCAAGGTTATGAAAAACATACAATATATAGTTGTTTAACAAATCTGGTTACTTCTTACCTGGTTGAAGATAGTCATCAATCATTGCAGTGAATGTTTTGTAATCTGGCGTGTTCTGAAGTGCCTCAGATGTTATTTCTTGACAAGTCTCCTTCAATGATGATTCCAATATACTAGAATAAGAAACTGATGAGGTTTCATCAGACTCACACTCTGATGAGATCTGAGTAAAGAAAGAACAATCCCATAAGAAATTTTGTTGTAGACATATGTTTGACATATAAAGATATACTGTGGCACTTAAACCATTAAATTTGACAATAAAATAAAAAACTGATTATCAGCCTTTAAAAGCTGACTGATTTTGTCACTTGACTGATTTCTATTAATAGCAAATTAATTTTAGTTTAATATTGATGATAAAATTGTAAGAACAGTAAGAATATTAATCTGAAAATTATCCAACAATAATAACGATGGTAGCAGTATTTCTAACTAAAAACGTTTTCCTCAAAACATATGAAGTGGTAGAAAATATGTAAAAATGTATTTACTTTGTAAATCTTTCTCTTTCAAATATTTTCAATATGATGCTTAAAAAACATAAATTTTGTACTTATGTATTGGTAGTTTCCAACATTATCAAATGAGACATAAACTGTTGCTATAAAGTTGCTTAGATACTGATGAACCATTTCTCACTACAAAATAAAATTGTTTGAAGACTTAGCCAATAATGTTACATTTAGAAGGTGTTCAACAAATCTGTCCAAAGTTCTCAATAACTACTAAAGAACCAAAGTGGTATTCTGGGGTGAATCAAATTACTGCCTAGTATTAATACTGTGCAATACATTGTGTTGAAAACTCTCCAACATTCACCACAACAAACTCAACTCACGAACAAAATTGACACTAAACAACCCAACAACGGTACATTACACTGCAGTTTCCCTTTCGTCCCTGAAACCATCTCAAGAATAATCCACACTTGAACAAAACTAGCCATTAAACACAAAATTCCTGTCAAAGTCAAAAACCTGGCCCTAAATTAAAATCTTTATTAAACAAAAATTATTTAGAATCACACAATACCACTGTAATTTACAAAATAACATGCAATAACTGCCTAGAATTGTACATCAGAGAAACAGGAAGAAAATTGAAAACCAGATTCACAGAACACAATAAAAAACTGTCCCATGTTTTCCACTATTGCAAGTCAAAAAACCATAGCATTTCTATAAAAAACACAGTAATTTTAAACAAAAAAACAAACATAAACGAAAAATCAAGGAATTCATCTTAATTGAACAAAACAACCCTATGCTAAACCAACACCCTGGGGTGCCTAGATGCCTCTTCTAAGTTGTGCAACAATATCTGGTCATGTGACTTCTTTGTTCAATACTGTGTGTGTGTGTGTGTGTGTGTGTGTCAGTGTAAACTACTTGTTCCTGATGATGACAAAACCTTGTCGAAATGTTGTACACTTGCTTTTATGTTAAACTTATATTAAAGTTCTTTCATTCAAGCCATCTTCCAGCATTATTAGTCTCAAAGTGTAACGGCTCTTGTCACATGGCCAGAAAAATTGTGATAGTTAGGGAAAATTGTCTACAGTTTTACATGTTATTAGTCTATGTTCTTTAGTGCATTATTTAATTAAATAAAAATTATTTAGTGCATTACTACCATTAGTATAACAAAAAGTAGCATCGACAATTGACAGCAAGAAAAAAGAAGATTCATGTAAGTACTTTATTTCCTGTTTTTCATGTTTATTCTTTATTTATTATTATAAAAGTAACTAAAATGTAAAAATAAGGATCTCTTTTGAACAGTTAAGGTGAGATTAGGTAAAATAAATAATAATAACATAATAAAAATGTTTAATAAGGCACACATGCAAGCAGCTCTTGAGTAACATAATTTGATAGCATAAAGTGACCTCCACATTCCCTAAGTGATTTACAACTTATAATGGCATGAATAGAATTTAGACACTATTCAAAGAACAATAAAATTTAATTATAAATAAATGTATACTGTTACAAGTTTAAAACTATTTAGGATAAACGAATGTAGTTTTATGTTACAATTTGAAGTCATTCCAGAAAGAAAAAAAAAGGGTAATTTAACTGTATTTATTTATTTTTTTTGGTGATTAGGAGGTCAGTCAAATTGACCAATGTTGTATAGAGTTAGGGTATAGAAAATAACAGATAAAATATAAAGTTTTACTGAAAACAAACATTTGAAATGTATTTATGAGGTTTTAACGATTACACAAATCAAATCTGAGATTTTTGAGATGAAGTATTTTTAATCTTAACATGAAAATCACTTTGCATGTGGATTATTCAAAACAAGTACTCGATATATATTCATGGACAAATCTTTTTTTACTTTATTTAAAATACTTCACAAAAAGGCTTATAATGTTTACTGAAAGATTGCCAAATTTTCTGAAGATATACATACAATATTAAAGTTAGTAGTATCAAATCTATAGACTTTACATGAGTACAAAGAGGTCACGTGGTCAAATCACACAAGCCTGTTTTGAAAAAGTTAATCATACTTTCATAGTCACAAAAATTTGTCATCAGTATCTACTGCTAAATCAATTTTTGAGTCATTTTCCCACCAAACCTATAAGCATTCAATTTACTAAACAATCTTTTATGAGGAACTTTATCAAAGTTTTGAAGATGAATTAACAATGATGCACTAATCCAAAAAGTCTCTATCAAAAAACTTTACAAAGTTGCTCCTCCACATTTCAGGAAGGTTTGGAGTCTGTGCTTTGAAGATTTTGAAAATTCTGCAACCCTGGTTGAGGCATTTTAAACATTAGTATTTTCCTACACTGAAAATATATTTTTGATAGATACCTATTCTCACAGTTACAGCTACTCTCGAGTTGACTGCACTCTAGCGCACAAATTTTTGGTTGCCACTAGCCTTGAAACTCCCACCTAATTCCATGTTGTTCAGCTGCGTTTAAGCATGCAAATTAGCATGTGACAGTCCTCTGCCATTAGGAGTGTGACAAACTCTCCTAGTATACCCAACTCTCTCTATGAAGCTGAACTCAATCAGTATTTGAAAATATTAGGCAAAAAAAAATGATACCGGAAGTGGAGAGGATATGTGGGAAGTGTTAAAGGAGGTAAGTATCTATCGGAAATTTATTTACAGTGTAGGAAAATATTAAATTCTGATATGATTACTTACCTCTTCTCACAGTTACAGTTAGAATCCCAAATTGAGCATGTGGAAGGACTGGTGTAAAATTACCCGATGAGCACCCATCAAAAGCATCTGAAGAGCACGGAGAGGAAACACACTCGTGGGAGGCCGTACTACATCTGATTGAGGTGTACTCTTTGTCCATGTGGAACAAACAGGTGTGGTGTCACAATCAAAGGGTGGAACAAGGTAAAAATTCCAATTCAGAACAGAAAAGGAATGTGTGAAGAGTGGTTAGGGCATGTGGGACCGTAATCAGGAGTGGTGTCTTCAACCTTTCACCTCAGGTCTAGGAACCAGAAGGGAAAAGTAGCCTCTGTTCCGAGACCCTAAACCAAATTGGCATTGGGGATGTAACATTCAGCCCACAGTAAGATGAAGTTCCCAGCCCACTCACATGTGAGGACTTATGTTGATTGGTCCATCTCCAACCAAAACCAGTGTCCCAGGAACGGACATACAGGCAGTGGTAGGAGGGAGGGTTCCCAGCCAGAGGGTGAAATTGCAAAATAAATGGAAAAATCCAGTCCAGTCCAGGCCAGCAGCATCTGGAATAAGACATCAGACAAGCAGCAGGAAGATAGTCATGCTTTCTACACAGGCAAGAACCCCACTGTCCTACTCTCGGCTGAGTGGTATTGTGCACACTCAGATGGATCCTTTCATGATCCAACACCCTGGCACATAGGAACTGGTAAGTGGTAAGGACTTCCATACCTCACTGGAAAAAAGGGAGGGGAAGAAATGCAATGAATGACCACGTAACACTATTTTGAAAATCAGACCATTCCAGATTTGGTAATATAAGAAATGTTGGAGATGGGCAGCAATCTCTTTCTGTATTAGTCATGTTGGTCTCATGAATGTACATTCCAGTACAAACATACTTATGATGCAATATGCCAAAAGGAAGAATCTGCAAATGGTCTTGTGGAATACCCCATCTCAACAGTAAGCATGACAGACCTTACAGATCTCACAGTGTAGATTTTGGATAACACTATACCTGGACAGTCACCACTCACCACAGAGCAAGATCCATAACCTGTAAAGTAGATCTCTGAAAAAAAAAAAGGAGAAATGAAATAAAAATAAATTACCTATTCAGAGTTGTACTGATGTATGGAGAATGGTTATAGGGGGAAGACAATATCTAGCTGAGCAGGAAATCACCAGATGGTGCAAGTAGTACAAAAAAAATGTGTTGGGAGCAAATACTCATTTGTTAATTAGCCAAGCTGCATTATTTGTTCAACATGGGGCATGATGGTGGGTAAACAAAGTATGCAGCCTATACTTTACAGAACCAACTAGAATCATTAAAATATATTGTGGTAGTTTTTTCTTTCTAAACTAGTGTTAATAACTTCTCTTATTGTAACAACATGGAATCTAGATTAACAGTTTCTTGTCATCACCCACATGCACTCAGTATGCAGCCGTACCAAGCATCATTATTAATGCTAATTGCTTAAACTAACAATATGTGATGTTAAATACTGTTTAGTTAGGATAATGTCATAAAATATAGTAAATTTGTGCTTAGAAGTAAATCAAACAGTTAGCTCTTCTAGTTACAACCTTTGTACTCGGTTGCTGCTTGACACTGGTTGCTAAGCCTTTTAAAATTTTGCATGTGGAGGATATAAAATGAAATAATTATTTTTAGGTTTTATATATATACACAGGTGAATAACTAAAAAATCATAAATTACTATATTAATACCATAGAATTATACTACAATTTATAAAGCTTAGTAACTAAGCTATATTTTAGCCTAAAAAAATATGAAATTTTGAGCAGACTAATGACACAACCTATCTCCTTGAAATCTTTGTTTGAAAGAAAGGGATGGCATCCAAATGCATTAAAAGGGCTGAGAAAGCCACTAGGGAGACATTATGAGCTTTGGATTGGTTATTCATGTTGTATATAGAAGTAAATGTATATAAGGGAGCATTTCCAAAAATGGAAAGAGGTAAGCGAGGTGCCACTGTGTTTGATTTATTATGTGAACAATATCTTAGCAAATAGAAAAGATAAGACATTCTTATTTTATACTCTAGCTTATCAATATCTGTAATTTGAGTTTCTAATTTGTATGAAACTATAGACTTAGTATTTTGACTTCACAAACATCTAATTTGAACCAGTGCTTCATTCAATATACCACGTGACACACAAAAATCGATGTTTATCTGTGTTTTTTTAATATTTCCTTCTAAACTAAGAAATTAAATAATGTATAATACTAAAATTTCAATTATAATCTACAGATTGATATCAAACGTATTGACATAAATTCATGAAATGGTAGTTCAATAAAATTTTGAATGCGAGTCAACAAACCCGATGACATGGCCTTTGACCTGTGACCTATCTGTAAAGGGGATAATGAATAATAATCGTACTCCCATATGATTCTTTTGAAAACTTGAGCTAGAAACTGCTAATCGAGTTTACTTGGCCTAACCAATACTTGTGTATTTGCACATGTTTTCACCATATAGTTTTGCTGCTCTAAATCAGACATCTTTAATATGAATGACAAAAACTAAAACCTGGCTACTTTTACTCTTAGTTGAAGCTGTAGTAAAGGTTTTAGATGGATAATTACTGTGGCTTTTTGTGTAGGTATGAGCAAAACTTTTTGTCAATTTTGAGTGGTTTTTGTTGAATAACTTTCAAGTATGGTTTATGTTTAGACCAAATTTGACACCTAATTGTAGATTGTAAAGATCTATCAGTGTACCACACACACACACACACACACAAATAGGAAGAATAGGTGGGAACTTCTCCAGCACACAGTATTGGTGGTCATACCTTAGTATCAATGGCACTAAGATACATAAGGGAAAATGAATACAAGAAATTCAAGTCTTGCCTAATTTCACGTATTTGAAATGTTTAGCAGAACAGTAGCTTAAACCCTACATCAATTAAAAGAAAACAACAAAAATTCACCATCTGTATTCTTCCTACTGGATGGGTCCATAGATGGTGTTTCTTGCTAATTGTTGCTTATTTTTACTCCCACAAAATGAAACAGATGAAACTAATTACATGAATATTTTCATGATCCTTAAAGACTGTGCATTTTCATGAGTCAAATGTTACTTATCTAAATAGAACTACCACTGGATAAACATATATTTGAAAGTTTTCCTACCAATACACAACATATCCCGAACACACCTTCATTTTTGCAATGTTCACAGCTTGTAGGTACTGGTGTATATTTTGTTGCATTCGTAGGTGTTGAAGCATAACATCTTTTAAAATGTTGAGTTCATCCTGTGGAGCTGAATCATCTAAGAATGGAAAGTAAAAAGTTGATGAACTAGTTAAATGTTTGACAACAAAGTCATAAATCAACATATGGACAACAAGATACCATTTGATTCTTCAAAGCTGTCCATGCTTGAGAAAAGTAAAAATTTAAATCCACTCTTTATTTTTCAGAAAATCATAGATTCTTCTCTTCAACTTGTGTAAAGTGCTGACCTTAACTAAACCAAAAAACAAACAAACTGGTAGCACACATCTGCACATTACCTTGATACTGGTGCACATGAAAAAATCCATTTTGCACATGGATTGACAAAGTCAGAGGGAACATTGCCAGTAGCAACTCATTCCATAATTCAAATGCCTTGCTATCAAAACAAAAGTGGCCTAATATGTGTCTAGCCTATCTTTTCTAAATCTCAAACTTCTGTCCTTTTATTTTCAGTTATAGTATCCAGAAACGAAATTGAATGTATTTATCCTACTGATCCTCCTTGAATAACCCTGTAAATTTCAATAAGATCACCTCTTTCAATTCTTTTCTCAGAAAAAATTAAGTTAAGAAATCTTAGACTGTGAAATCATCCTAGTAAGCTTCCTCTAAGCCCTTTTAAATAAGTCAATATCCTTCTTAGATAAGGAGACCAAAGTTGCATTCAAACTGAGCCTTAACTGTGATTTGTATAGAGAAAATTACCATTTTTGACTTGTAATCAATAAATTTCTAAATACACTAAAATTCTATTAGTTTTACTACTAGCAACAGAAAACTGCCTTGACGGATTTTGGCAGTGGTGGATAAGTCACTCAAGCTCTTAAAGCAGTAAACCAACACAACCTTGTTGTCCCGTAAATGTTATATGTAAAGATTAGAAGTACATGGATTACATTTAACATGGCTCTTTAAAAACATCTATTATTTAGATTTAATAATAATAAAAAATCTCAGTTTCTCATCAGATGTTTTTAAAAACTGTAAAAAGGATGCTTTTGTTTTTTAAAGAATGTGACCGATATGTTGCTCAAACACTAAAATAATGGTTATCACCATTTGTAATGTCAACCTTATTGCTAGATAATACCAGATGAAAGTTATCTTTAGTTAAGTCTTCGTATAAATGGTCTTAAAAACACTTGAAAATAGACACAGGAATTTTTTGATTTGAAAAATAAGATAAACATGCAAGGTGTCAACAGTTTATAGATGCAGTTGCAAGTGAGAAAACAGATTTTGTATCTGGCCTTACATGATTTAATTAAAAAGACAATTTTTAATCTAATGATTTATTTATATAAAACTGAGCTTTCAACCTCTTACTTCTACATGTAGCTTATTTTTAACTTTGTCATTTTAATATAATACCTGACACTTTTAACAATTCTTCTGTTAAATCTGTTGTCATTTCCTTTCCAGTAGTGATATAAGATTCCACCTTCTTCATCTGTTCAGTTGTTTTGTCCATCAGTCCAAAGGAGTTTGCCATTACGGAGATTTATAGATGTTTATCCAAACTGCTTAAGTACAAAAGCATAATTATTTTCATACAACAAATGTCTCAAATTTTTATTATTTATACATATATTGCAAAGGTACTAAATAAAATATGTTATAAATGTGTGCAAAGGTTTGCATGATGATGTGGTGTATGTTGTTTGAATGTTAGTATAAATTAGGTTGTATGTGTATGTTGTTTGAATGTTAGTATAAATTATCTTAAACCTTTACAAGTATTACCTAGTTAAACCTATTGAAAAAACAAACAAACCAGCACTTAAAAATTCACTGTACAATATGCTATTAGTATTACTATTAGACATTAGTCATTACATGTAAGCTTACTCACAGTACTGTATTCACATACAACATTATATATATATTTATACTTTAACAAGTCTTAAGAACACTAATAAGTATTATTATTACTTATAGTATACTTTATTATTTATACTTATAGTTATAAGGTACACTTCCCTGTACCGTACGGTGCACATAAGTCCAAGAGGATCGAATTTGTACTCACACTTTTATAGCGAAGTTTCACTTTAAGAATTAAACATTATAACTACTGGTACTAATACTATTAATACTCAAAAAGTTGTAAAGTGCAAATATGTATAAAAACAATCACCACAGTTGCAAAACTTTTCTGCTTATGTTTTATTCGATAAAGAAAACTTTCAAGTTACATGCCTTAGAAGTGTAACGTAATTAGATATAGACTAACTTTACGTCAAATTATAACTTATTTCTAACATATTACTATCACTATCAACTTATTCAAACAAGACAGCGTCGGTGAAGTTTGTAACTAGTCTCTGAAAACTTAAAAGGTGAAACCATCTTACATTGTGTTTATTTTGAATTATAAAATGATTCATTAACTCCTGATAATGTAAAGGAAAGCAGGCATCAATAAAGAAAAAATAATTCAAGTTAATTTACAGTAAGTTGTAATGGAAAATAAGTATATTAAACACAGATCCTTTCTTTCTTTCTTCAGTTTACCATAGATCCTGGTTTTCCTCATCATACTCATAGTTTGATATCGTCATAATGAAAAACTATTACTAAATTCGACTGTCCATTTTATTCATTCTACATAAGTATTAAGGTTACGAAACTCACGATCAGTTTTTTATATCGAATACTTTTACTAGGTTTTCAAAAAAATTCATATAGGGCGATTATAAGTTTTTCTTTGATCCACCTCTGCATAAAGGTGTGTCACTGTATCAGTCTCGTATGAGGCGTAAGCTACTTATATTTATAATTTGTCTGGTTATGGGAATTTCTAAGTCTACAGCAAATAGTAGGCCTATATTTGTATTTGTCATTGGTATACATTAATCTTCTAATGCGTAAATGATTTGATTTTTTTTTACTATCACAACAAAAGATTAAAGAAAGAAAAATGCTTGGGGGCTTAATAATGAACGTTGGGGAGTTTATTTCCGATGTTCAGGAAGATCGTAATTCACCAACAACTTCAAGCTTTGTAATAAAAATGTCGAAGTATCGCCAAGCTGCCGGAGCTATAGAAGAGGTGAGCATGTACACTGTCGTGTTTTACTATGAATAAAAGTTTTATTAAGGAATACGTGCAAAGTTCAAGCCTATCGTTCAAATTACTGAGAGAAGTAGTGTTATTGTTAATATGTTAGATCGGGACCTTTATATTATTATATCATGTGTGCTAATGATAAGGACTGTATAGTGTATATTACTATGTGATATATCAGATGTATACTATAAGTTATAACTATAAGCCACAAGGTTTCTAAATTTGATAATAATCTATAGTAATGTATAATGCTGATTTTTTTGCAAAATCTTTCCTATGCAGGAGTAGTCTTTCTGAGTGGGATTATCCATAAAAAGCGAGTTTCAACATTGGTAAATTATCAGAACTGAAGCATTGAGAGTATAGAATTTGAAAATATCATATATTTTGTGTGTGGGAAATATTAATGTTGTGAAGAGATGTAAGGATTTGAGCATGATGATTGATAAAAGCTTCAGGAAAGTTCATTGTAATGGCAAAAATATCATATAGGTCCTAGTGCTGCTATTTTAATTAATTCAAGGCTGTTCAGCTTCAATTTCAAGCTAGCATGATCTGGTAACTAGAATGGTTGCCTCATGATTTGAGGGTCATTGTCACTGAATGGGTTTACCCTTTTAGCATAGGGGCATTATATTTGCATCTTTGTTTATGACTTATGGCAAAGCTACTGAAGATATCTACTGTCGTCAATAGAGGTAAGGCAATCAGTCAGTAGCATCCACCACCATTTCTTAGACTATTTTATATTAACAAAAAGGATGGACTGTACAATTATAATGACTTAGTGTTAGTAGCTTAAACATAACACAAACAATCTTGCATATCAAATGAGCTTGCTCATATTTTAGCAGCTAGTTCTTCTTTTGTTGGTAAGACTGCAAGGGACAACATGTACACAACTCATGATTATAAGGGTATGGCATAGTGGCCATCGGTTACATAACTAGTCACACTGATGCCTGTTAGTGTTATTCATCTTAACCCTGGACTAAACAATAGTATAGTCTTAAATTGCTATATTGTTTGTACTTTATAAGCTACAAATATAATAAGTCTTACTTAGGGTAAAGTCAATAAAGAAAGCTATAGCAAGTTAATATTTGTTATTTGGTGAAACAAAAACACTAGTTGAATAACCTGCTCATTTAATTGTGTTTGTCAGAAATTATTAAACGTGGACTGAGAAGTCTAACAGTATGTAACACCTTTAAGTTGTTAACCAATTTACACAAATAGGATTCCTGTTTAATTGCAACTAGCTAGTGTCAAGACTTGTGAAAATAATCAGTTAATTGAAATTAGTATTTACAGTTATTACTATTTCAGTTATTCCAACTATCATTAGAATAATGATAATTCTCATTAGAATAATCAATCTATTAAATGTAAATGATTAACTCTTTCAACCTGGGCTCAGTCCCTGGGACCGACCTCCTAACCATTTTGTGCTTGTTACAGTTTTCATGCTATAACTTTTACATGTGAATGTTAATGAAATATGGCAGATAATCAGTTAACATTACAATGCTTTCATAAACAAAATATATAATTTTTGTATTAAATCTTAAGGTTTGTAAAGCAATGTTTCTCTCGTGCCTTTTTTTTAAATCTTGCCTATCTATCATGCAAAGTAATTTTAATTTTAAGATTAAGAATACTTTTATGCATCAGAAAATTCTGAAATTTCACAAGCGAAATCTTTATAATGTCGAGATAGTTATCAAACATTTCTTAAGAAAAAAACTTTATATATTTTATCTGTTATTTTCAGTAATTAATCTCTGTACGGGTTCAGTAAATTTGACTGATCTAGCAACCACCATAAACAATTAGGAAATAAACATAAATCATGCCTCTTTCATTCTAGAATGAACACAAATTATAACACAAAAACATAAATGTTTAGATGAAATAGCTTAAAACTCATAACATTATACATTTATATATATTTATTGTTTTTATTATATTGACCTTTCACCCGTGCCTAGTTAACAGTGCATAAGTTACAACGACGCAGCTCATGTACACTCATGTTACCGTATCAAATAATATAAAGGTGACTTTTGGTCTGTACAAAGTAACTTGTCTTGGCTGTGTTCTAATACACTAGTATTTTGTAAAATACAGACACATTTTATTTATTATACATGATATGTGTATATAGATTATTACTATTTTGAAATAAGTTTTTAAAGTTATTTTTTTCTAAAACATAAAACAGTAAATAAAGAAGTAAAACAAACAATTGTATCTCCTAATTACAACCTATATACTCGATTGCTGCTTGACATAGGTTGCTAAGCCTTTAAAAAGTTTGCATGTGGAGGATATGAAGGAAGATAAATTTTTTATAGGTTTTATATATACATTTGAGGAACTGAAAAATCATAAATTACTAGATCAGTACCATAGAATTCAACTATAATTTGTCAAGCTTAGTAACTGAGATGTATTTTACTCTAAAAAAATATGAAATTTCGAGCAGACTAAAGACACAGCCTACCTCATTGAAATCTTGGTTCAAAAGAAAGAAATGATGTTAGGTATGTTAGAAAGGCTGAGAAAACCACTAAGGGACATTCTGAGCTTCCAATTGGTTATTCATGTTATATATAGAAGTAAGTGTATATAAGGGAGCATTTCCAAAAATGGAAAGAGGTAAGCGGGGTGCCACTGTGTTTGATTTATTAGGTGAGCAATATCTTAGCAAATAGAAAAGATAAGACATTCTTATTTTATATTCTTGCATTTTCAATATCTGTAATTTGAGTTTCTAATTCGTTTTGAAACTATAGACTTAGTATTTTGACTTCAGAAACATCAAATTTGAACCAGTAATGCATTCAACATACCACGTGACACACAAAAATCAATGTTTATCTGTGTTTTTTAATATTTACTTCTAAACTAAGAAATTGAATAATGTATAATACTAAAATTTCAATTATAATCTACAGTTTGATATCAAACGTATTGACATAAATTCATGAAATGGTAGTTCAATAAAATTTTGAATGTGAGTCAACAAACCCAATGACATGGCCTTTGACCCGTGACCCGTCTCGAAAGGGTTAATGAGTCCAACTGTTAAACAATTATGAAATTCCACTAATCACACAGCTCTGTTTATTTCTTATGCTCTTGTAAACTGCTGTCCTCCACTATTGCCGAAGATAGCTCATTCCATAAGTTAATCACTGTGTTAGAGAAAATATAAGTACTTTGATTGGAGTCTATTATTTTCCAAATCTTAAAATTGTGTCTTCTCATTGTATTATCTTCAGAATATAGCATAAACTTTATGGTAAAAAAATCAGAAGCCTTTATTCTATTGATACCCTATGTAATCGTGTAAACTTCTTTAAGAATACCACTTACTCTTCTTTGCTCAAGAGAAAATAAATTGAGATATTTTAATCTATCCCTATAAGACAAAACCCTTCAGTCTTGGAATCATCCTACTATCCTCCTTCTGAACCCTTTCCAATAGTTCAGTATTTTTCAGGATAAGGAATCCAGAACTGTACACAATATATAAGTGAGGCCTAACTGGTGATTTAGGAGTATAGAGAGAGATAATCTTTTTTTTTATTTTGAATTGTAATCAGTAAGCTTATAAAAAAACACCCTAAAAATCTGTTGACTGCTAGCAACAGATACTGCTTTGATGGTTTGAGTGACTTATCCTTTACTAACATAACATTTGAGGGACAAGGACCCTGGTGGCCATTATCTGTCTTTTTCTTAAGTCACTGTTGAATGGTTCCCATTCATTTTCAATTTATGATACAAAAGATGATAACTAAAGTGCATTACTTCAGACTTGCTATAATTAAATTTTACTAATTATGTTTTGTTAACATCATTAATGTAAATAAGAAAAAAATATTCCACAAACACTGTCCATTTGGGATACTCTACTAGTATCAAAGATCCAGTTTGACTGGTCTCCATTATTAACAACCTTTTACCTTCTCCTATCCAACTAACTTACAATGCAACTAGCTAGTCTTTCTCTTACCCATAAATGAGAAGATTTTCTTAGCTAATTATATAATTTTATATAGTTTGTCAAGAGTCTTCTGATATTCATAATTTATTAAACATGTAATTTTTTTTTGTCCATTTAGGATTTGGTCTCTGGTTTGAACATGAAAATTTACAAAGAATACAGTTTTTTCAGCAAACTTGATAAATTTAGCAAGAAAATCCTAAGCATCTCTTACACTTTTTACATTTTAAGAAATTTTCTCAATCAGCTTCTTTGATCAAACAAGTTAGTTTCTGAACGTTAGCCTTTCAACAATCATGGACATAAATAACATTTGAGGGACTCCTTGGCCGATTATGGCTGCCCCATTAATTTTAACAAACACCTATTTACTGATATCCAGCCCTAACTCCCCAAGTACTCAGCAGGTCCTTTCTTGAACTCTCCCAATCTTGTTCTGTCTATCATCTCTGAAGGCAATCTATTTGGAAGTAGTATACTCAACACCTGGTCTTAAAATAAATATGAAAGTTAATGATATTATGCTAATTGGTATTTACATATAGAAACCAGAAAACAACTTTAGAATTGTCTATAATATAAAAGTACTGTCAGGGTTATGGTAAATGTTATTGCAAATAATATGTAGTTATATAAAACATAAATAAAGCACTTAAACACCTTTCTATGTACTTGATGTATTGTTTATACAGAGGTAGATACATAGAAGCTAGAAATTTAGTTAATTGTCATTTAAAAACTCACTTTTTAATAAACAACAATTTATTGTACACAATTCTAAAAATGAGACTGTTTCCAGTCTCAAAAATACAATAACATATCAAATAACTTACTGTAAAGGATAAAAAAAAAAAAAACCCTGGTAAGACTGAAAACAGTCTCATGCATTCAAAACAGGTTTTTACAATAAAAACAAAGGTTTAAATGTTTAATTATCTAGATCTTGTAGAATAAAGGAATCATTTTATAGCTTACTATGAATTCTTGCAGACTCTAGATTTTGACAGAGATGGATTGGGAAAAATGAAAAAAGCTGTTAAGGCAGTGTGCAGCAGTGGAAATGGTAAGTTTAGGCTCATATTATGTATACAATTGTTGTTTTTTTTGGGGTGGGGGAATTAACATAATCTGAATGTTTTTTACTGTCATTGAGAAATGAGATAATATTGTTTGTGATCCCAATTGGAATTCTGGACCAATAGAGTAGTAGAGAAGTTAATGATGTAGGTTTATGTACATTTACACATTGGTACTGCTATCTTTTATACTGTTCATTTTGTTGCTTTTGTAGCTATATCTGTTCACTGTTTATACATTTGTTGTCTAACAGTCAGTAAGAGGTTAATATGACCCTTGAACCTAACTAGTTTTTACACAAGGCTTGCTGTAACTTAAGAATTAGTGGTAACAACATTATAAGTGACAGAAGTATAAAAACAAACAGTTGTGCTCATACTTCAAAGTTTAATTTTTAAATGACATATTATGTGTGGCTGAACAACTCTTTATTTTGATTGAGACAAGACTGCTTTACATCTGCTTGATGTTTGGCTTATGCTAGGAAAAAAATTCAGAAAGGTTTTGTTAGCTCCAAATAATCATACACTATTTAACCCCTTACCCACCTGGGCCATTTTGTCTTATCGTGAGGACAAAATCACATTTTTCAATTTAAAAATTATAGAGAGCTTATCTTTTATTGGATTTCAGATTTTAATTTTGGAAATAGTGGTATAACATTCGATTATTTGTACAAAATTGTATTATTTGATGAAGTTTAAAGAGAAAGTTAATAAAAAAAATAATCCTGAAATATGTTTGAGACTATAAATAAGAACCCTCTAAGAAGAAAATTTTTTTCAACATTTAAAAAAATTTTTCCTTCCACTTCAGCACTGGTCCTGCCATCTATGATTGGTATTCTAGTATGTTTTCTTTATAAAACAGCATCTGGGCGTGTTAAACCTCAGTTGTAAAACTTTTAGCCAATCCTATTCAAAGGTGTCAATTTCAGTACCATGTTATTCCAGTCACTCTATATCACATTTGACAAATCATAGGATCATAAGCAAAGCATGTGATGAAATGTCGTTCTCTGGATTGTACAATATGAAGTGGGTGGTTCTTATTATAGTAACTGCCATTTCATGTAGAGGTTGTATTTAGTAGTGGTCAATAGTACTTTTTTTTTTATTATTATAAGTCTTAGAAAATATGCTTTTGGAAAAAACTGCATGGGATGTATGTGACTTCTAATATTTTTGCTATAAATTAAATCATGCTATATCATATATCTATTTATATTAATCATTATATTGAAAAATTAACTCAAAATAGATATATTTTTAGGAAAGAAGTTGATCCACGAGTGTTAGGGTTAAGATCTATCAAGTGGCAAGTGCATGGTCTTTACGTAAATTAGACTGAGAGTTTGTGATTTATAAATTCCTTTGCATTTAAATTAGTAGTTTTAAGTTCAGTAATTTAGAATAATTTTATATTTAGTTCATAATAAAAATATGATTCAGTATTTAGAATGACAACCGTGTGTCAGATTTTTATGTACTGCTAATACCATGCAAGAAATTTTTATTTTTCCTTCTTACTATCTTCTGTTGTTGTTGCTTTATTATTAAAACAGTCCAACTGATATATAAGAAGTTTATTCTGATATTTTGCAAATGGTTTGAAACTCAGTGTACAAGTGACAACATTAAAACCCATATGTTGGTTGTGAAACAGACTAAACACATTTGTCTCAATAATACAGGGAAAACTTTAATATTCTCACAGTTGTGGTGTCAATACACTGAAGAACTTAAATTTCAAATTCCAATATAAATCTTGCCTATAATGAGAGAAATGTGACCAGGACTAATCTTTTAAGTGCTGTAAAGTAATTTTCTTTGTAATTTATGGTGTCTATCGTTTGGTAATCTCTTGTGATAGGATGTATCATGTTGGGTCAGGCAGTGTTATTCAAACCATCTGTACTGTAAACTATTACATACATTCACTAGTAGTGGCAGTTAGTTTTGTCTGTATAGTG